CCTACAATGAAGCACCCTTAGCATGGAAGGCAGAATAATTGATCTCAGCACCACACAGCAAATGGAAGCAGCAGCAAAAGACAAAGAGGAATGGAAAAGACTGGTTTCCACTCTGCATGCTGACAGTGGCGCAGGAACTGAATCTCTTTTAGGACATATTTTATTATGAATTTCCTGATCTTTGTGCAAGGAAGATGTCAGAATATTTCATTAATGTCTATTATTTGCATGTAGTATACATTTTAATAAATGTAGTCATTGGGAGTTTTGTGCTCCAAGTAGCTTAACAATTGTTCTTCTCTCCAGAATTCCCCACACACCTCTTTCTCCAAGTCTGAACATGTGAGAATAACTTTTTTTCCAGATTTACTACTTGTTTCTACTATCCAGTCAATTCTTAATAGGGAGAATGACAGAAAAACTGTGCCTCATAAAACATCAGGAAAAAAATGGTTTGTTACTGTAACACTCTGTGCCCCAAAGAGACACTCTGCACCCCATATTCACCATCGGTGATAGAATTATGATGTATTTTGTATAAAGAATACCTTGTGAGGTATCATTTTAAAAGTCTTAATCTTTAATTAATATTTAAAGAACATTAATATTCTGTTAAGTTGTATGTGCTATCATTGTATATGAAGTTTCACTATGTATGTACCACTGAAACATGTTGTGAGGTTGGGAACACCCACAAGCAGTCTTTCAGATACAACAATAAAAAGGCCAAACAACGTTGATGGCTCATTGAGGAGAATACAAACACTCAAAAGGATTACTCCAGGAACTGTGAACAATGGAAACTTCTCAGAGATAGCACATACTCAAGGGAGACTATTTGAGTCTTGTCACAGCAAAAGATCTTTCCAGCAAGTTGGAAGATATAAAGGGGGAAGTAACATCATGACTTGGCCTGGTTAGAGCAGGAGTCAAAAGTCAGAAACCTGGAGGTCAGAATCAGACAGGCCAGAGGGCAAACCAGGCATCAGATGTTAGGAGGCAGGCAGGCAGGCTCAGGTTATCAAGAGACCAGCAGCATTGTGCAGATTGTGAAGGAGCAACAGTCCTGAAATAGGGAGAACCCAGCTGCATAGACAGCTTTCTGTTTCTGTGCTTGGGTTAGATAGAGGCTGGGGACCAATCAGGACCCCCAGGATTCCAGCAATCAGATCCCAGGACTGGAGTTCTCTTTTGGAGTTCAGCTGCTATTCTAGCAGCTGTTACCTGGTCAATGGGTGGCAGGCTGAGACTGCCTAACTTTTAAGAGGCCTGTGGACCTAGGTTCAAGACATGTAGTCCCTGACAAAGGGTGACCATCCTGAACTGGGAAAAGAAGCCTTTCCCCCTGTGTTGGTAAGGAATCTCTTCTATCACTCCCAATTTCCAAAGAGACTATACTTCTTGAAGTAATAGAGTCTTATGAGATAGGGGCCTGAAAGGGGATGGGGAAAATGGGGTTGGGAAGAGGGAGGGAGGTGAATTGGATAATATATCCCTCTTTTAATGTGCTGAGCCACACTTGCCAGATGTGATGTTTGCCCAAGCAGGGTGGAAGAGGAACAGGCATGTTTCACAGGTAGGAGATATGGTTAGCAAATTAGTCAAAATGACTGCCTGGAGATTGCAGCTGTCTGGTGAGAAGGGCCTCCCATAGATGAAGGCAGCTGGAAAGATCAAGGAGGTCTTAACCTTCTCTTTGAAGAATATGGCCTAAACTGTTTCATCTGTTTTGTTGGAAAATCGTTTTCCTCATGGAAATTGCAGTGGCCATGGAACATGAGGCCCTATCAGAGATGTCAATATCTGCTTGAACTGGCTTGTTTCTCCTCATGTAACTATTTCTCACCAGACTTGTGCCTTGAATCAAGGGCAGTTGGAGACACAAAATTGGGAGGTATAGCCAATATGGAGGAGGATCAGAATACCATACAAGAAGATTTGGATGACCTTGTTAACTGGAGTAATGGAAATGGGATGAAATTTAACAGTGCAAAATGAAAGTTCATGCATTTAGGGACTAACAACAAGAATGCTTGCTTTAAACTGGGGACTCATCAGTTGGAAGTGACAGAGGAGGAGAAAGACCTGAATGTAGTAGTTGATCACAGTGTTAAAAAGGCTAATGGAATCCTAGAATGCATTAAGCAAGGTATTTCCAGTTAGAGACAGGAAGTGTTAGTACCATTATACAAGGCACTGGTGAGACCTCATTTTGATATTGGTCTCTCATATTTAAGAAAGATGAATTCAAACTGGAACAGGTGCAGAGAAGGGCTACTAGGATGATGCAAGGAATAGAAAACCTACTGTATGAGAGGAGACTCAGAGCTTGGCTTGTTTAGCCTAACCAAAGAAGGCTGAGGGGAGATATAATTACTTTCTATAAATACATCAGAGCAGGAGTGGACAAACTTTTTGGGCCGAGGGCCACATCTGGGTAGGGAAATTGTATGCAGTACCAGGGCAGGGGGTTGGGGTGCGGGAGGGAGTGTGGGGTGTGGGAGGGGATGCGGTGTGCAGGAACGGGCTCAGGGCAAGGGATTGGGGCAAAGGAGGGGTGTGGAGTGTATGAGGGGGCCCAGGGAAGGGGGTTGGGGTGCAGAAGGGGTGCGGAGTGCAGGAGGGGGCTCAGGGCAGGATTGCAGATTGCGGGGGGAGCTCAGGGCAGGGAGTTGGGGTGCGGGAGGGGTGCAGGCAGAGGGCTTAGGGCAGGGAGTTGGAGTGCAGGAGGGGTGCAGGCAGAGGGCTTAGGGCAGGGAGTTGGAGTGCAGGAAGGGTGCGAGGTGCAGGCAGGGGGCTTAGGGCAGTGAGTTGTGGGGTGGGGTGCAGGAGGAGTTCGGGCTCTGGAGTGGCAGTGGCGCACACCAGGGCCAGGGCAGGCTCCCTGCATGTCTTCCCTGGCCCCATGCCGTGCTGTGTCGTGCCGCTCCGGGAAGCGGCCAGCACCACGTCCCTGTGCATCCCCTGCGGGAGGGGGAGGCACAGGGCTCCGCATGCTGCCCTTGCCACACCTCCAGGTTCCTCCCCTGAAGCTCCCACTGCCCGTGGTTCCCCATTCCCGGCCAATGGGAGCTGCAGGGGGCGGTGCCTGGAGGCAAGGGCAACGCACAGAGCCCTCTGCCCCCGCCCCCCTGGGGTCCCAGGAACGCGGTGCCGGCCACTCCTGAGAGCGGTGCAGGGCCTGCAGCACCACACAGGGGCAATCCCATGGGCCGGATCCAAAACCCTGATGGGCCGGATCTGACCTGCGGGCCGTAGTTTGCTCACCCCTGCATCAGAGGGATAAATACCAGGGAGGGAGAGAAGTTATTTAAGTTAAGCGTCAATGTGGACACAAGAACAAAATGGCTATAACCTGGCCATCAACAAGTTTAGGCTCGAAATTAAACAAAGGTTTCTAACCAGCCTTCCAAGGGGAGCAGTGGGGGCGAAAACCTAACTGGCTTTAAGACTGAGCTTGAAAAGTTTATGGAAGGGATGGTATGATGGAACTGTCTATGATAGCATGTGGCCCATCAATGACTGCCAGTAGCAAAAATCCCCTAATGCTGGAGATGGGATACTGGATGAGGAGGGCTCTGAGTTACTACAGAGAATTCTTTCCCAGGTATCCGCCTCGTGGGTCTTGCCCACATGCTCAGGTCTAACTGATCTCCATATTTGGGGTCAGGAAGGAATTTCCCCCCAGCTCAGATTGACTGAGACCATGGGGGTTTTCCACCTTCCTCTGCAGCATGGGGCACAGATTACTTGCCAGTTTAAACAAATGTCAGTAGTGAATTCTGTTACCTGAAGTCTTTAAACCATGATTTGAGGACTTCAGTAACTCAGCCAGAGGTGATGGGGCTATTTCAGGAGTGGGTGAGGTTCTGTAGCCTGCAATGTGCAGGAGGTGAGACTAGACGATCACAATGGTACCTTCTGACCTTAAACTCTACGAGTCAAAGTAAATACTACAGGTAGCTCCAACTCTACCCACAGGTGGTGAGAAAGAAATGAGCAGGAGGTGGTGGACATATCCTTTTTATGCCCTTGTCTAAGAGCATGAGGAGAGAAGGGACACAAGAGCTGCCTGGTGGTACTGCTGGCAAAAGCTTGTCTTCAACAGAGGAGGTGACCTTGACCCTTGCTTTCATTGGATCCCAGTGTATCCCCCATACCCAAATCGCAAACACCTGCAGTGGAAGATATATGTGTACAATCACCAAGAATAACCTCCCGAAACCTCTCAAAATACTTCTCATGTGTATTTATACACAAATACAAACAGATTTTCACTAAACGCTGTCAAAACCAGTAGAGATCCCACTTCTCTAAGAGGTTTAAAAATATGATTAATATAAAAAAAAAACAAGGAAAGTCTCTGATGCAAAGCATCTTGGATATTGTGATTTTCAATGTGAAGACCTTATTCCACAAACCTTCCCTGCAAAGAACTCTCACTAACTTCAAGTAGAGGGCTTCCATAATTGGGGCCAGAGCTAAACCAACATAGCATCAGCAGGAACAATGGTTATCCAAGTACTTTACGTTACAGTAAGGAGGTAGGTTGCTAATCATCATCTTTCAATGCACTGATGTGAGTGATTAACCAGAATGCTTTTTTTGCACAAGAGGCCTTACGTGTGTGGAAATTCTACTGCAATCTTGCAGTGACAATGCACAGGCAGCAAAGTGACAGAAATGCTACAGGATGCCACAAGCAACTGACATGAGGGGAAACAAAAGGGTTGCACTACGTCAAACTGCCCAAATAGAAAGTGAAGCTAAGCAAAAGTTGCAAAACAAGTACAAGCATCTTTCAAGGTTATTTTGAGCACAGCTGCTCAGGCATTTGAAATCCCTTCTCCCACCCTTATTTTCTATACACACTCCCAAAATACCTCACCAAAAATTGTGTGTGTTGATCCAGGAATATGAAGGCACAAGTGAATATTCATGCAACACATACAAAAACAAATGGGGCTGGCAATGTCCCTCCTGTTTGCCAGGGCACTTACTGGCTTGGATGGATGAGTCAATAAAACTTCAGGATGCTAAAGGGAGAAAAAAGATAGAAAAAAGAGGGGGAAATTGGGAAAAAGGAAGAGTGAGAGAGAAAAAAAGGTGTAACAACAAAACGATTTAAAGACAGATGTAAACACATTCATTTATTACAGCACTTAAAATTGTGGTGTTTAGTAATAAATCCTAACAACTTTGAAATATTATAGAATTTGACCGCTTAACCCTTGGCATGGTCAGAACTCAGGGCTTTATCCTAAAATTCATGCCCCCTCTCTTACCAGCTGTTTCTACCCAACCCTCAAACACTTTGCTGTTTTATGCTGCATTCAGGCTTACAGATAACACATCAAATAGCTTAACAGATTGGGCAGCACTTTTATTTCTAATGCCTCATTTAGATCAATTATCAAATAAGTAAGTGGTTCAGGAAATTATCTTGAAGAACAACAAAACAATGATGAACATAGATGATGGAAAAGAAAAATTACAGAAAGCCCGATTTCCCTGGTAACCATTCTCTAGCTTTCTTTCCTGGGTTGCTGAACCAAGCACATTAGGCCTGTTTCTTTTTTAATAAATGAATCACTATTACCAAAATTGAATATTAATCAGCTGTGAATGAAATATAGCACTTTTCTTCTAATCTACCAGTGTATCTGTAAGATTTCTAAGTCATGACAGGAAACACTTTTTCACAAAGAGAAAAGCCCTAGAGACCAAGTCAGACTCATCTGAGTCAGATCCTACGAAACCCACAAATTGGATGAACACTTCATGAATTTATGGCTTCACATATTCTCTCCCTGGAAAGATATTACATCCTTTAACTGAAGCAAGGACATCATAGCAGAAGAGACTCTCAATAGTATGCCCAAAGCATTGACTTGCTAACTCTGGAGGGGATTTTCCTGCCACAGAGCCAATGTTAGCATTCTCCTCTGGTTCAGAGCCTCTAAAACTGCTCTGGATGGGGAATTTTGCTACCAGCTGCTGCAGGATTCTTATCTTCACCAAGGTCAGTGGGCCCCTTCCAAATAGGCTTATCTCTGAGCAGAAAAAGCTCTTGGCTCAGTGGCTGTAGACAGAGAAGATATGCACTGACAACAACTATAGGAGAGGATGCGCTCCTCCTTGGAGACTATTTTATTGCTGTTAGGTCTCCCCAGGCAGACAAAAAGCACTTCACACTAGAGGAAAAAGGCAACAAGTAGGAGAAGCTGGAAAAGAGAACACTCAGAACTAAGGGGAAAAGATTATCACTTGAACAATCCCCCAGCAGGAAGGAGGCATATATATTTGAAAATGAAATTTTCCTAAAGGTGATATTGCACAGCTCTGCAGAGGCAAACAATTTTGAAGAGAAACTTTTGGACCAGGGCCCCATATGGCTTATCACCTACCCTGACACTTCAGCTTCTTTCATCACACCAAAAATGGAGACCTGGTCCATAAGCATAGCTCATTGGAATGCAAACTCAAGAGAGACCATGGTGTCCTTTCAGCATTCAGAAGCTCCTGTACTACTTTTTCCTCCCACTTTTTTTTGTCCGTACTGTTGGCAAACAGCTCAACAGTTCTCAGTACAGGAGTGAATGACGGCAAAGGGATTAGTGTTCAGAATACAGAGATCTGTATAGTCACAAGACCATTACTGAAAAATAAGGATACAGTGATTATGAAAATAGCTGCATTCAGATTGGCTAACTATTGTTGCTACCCAGAAAGAGTACAAGAATCCAGATGAAATAGAGTAACTGTTAAGGAAACAAATAGAAACCATGAAAATCAGACTCCTAAAAATCAGAGTTCAGGGGACTGCATAACTAGGAAAAATATACAAGTGATATCAATAACTTTGCAGCACTGCTTGCACTCTAGTGACAGAGACTACTCCATTTTACTATAATGTTAAATACCTTCCACACCAGAAGTGCAAGCCTGTAGTGACTATGTGGATTTCTTAAAGGAGTATGTAAAATTTAGAGATTAACGAAAGATTTCTCAAAAGGACTGACAAAGGATTAAATCTCCTTCACCTGATGGCCCAACAGTTTCACCTTTGCTGCCATGGTCATGACTTTTAGGACACTATATTTCATCTTATTTGAAACTGTTTAAATTATGGATTGGAAACATAACTAAGGGAAACAATTTGACAAGAGAGAGATCACTATTCAAACTGCAATTGGGTTGTGTTGAAAGGAGATTCCCTTGATCTGTGCAGTTTAGGAACTCCACGAGGAGAGAGAGAGAGAGACTGACTTATATGGAGTTCTCATGCAGCACAAGACCAGTGTGGCTCTAATCTCAGCAAAAGGTGGAGGAGAAAAGGGAACCACTACTCCCGCAGATGTCATTAAAGATCTCAATATCTTCTATATGCAAATGTACCTGTATTTACTCAAATTCTTATTCCTATGCTACTGAAACGGTAGCTCAGGACCTCACAGTTTTATTAGTGACTACAAAAAGATCTTTCTCCCCTTCTCCAATTCAATTCAGTATTGAAAATTTTCTATGTAGTCTTTACCTGCAATACTAACTAGCCATGATAATTAAAACAGTATCTTAGCTCCCAACACTAGCACAAGTTACTGAAGTGGATTTATTAAATTTGGTTTTTAAATGTTTGTCAGTCAGATATGGTTCATGTATTTTTAATTGTTTTACGAACATTTAAAAGAGGCTAATCCACTCTGAAAATGTCAAATTGTTTTGACAGCCACTTGAATTGCACTTCAGGGAAAAAAAATCTTAAAAACTTACTTTAAAAGGGTATTTTTTCACCTTTCTATAAGAGGCAAAAATGGATCAAATGGATTTTACTTAAATTATAAAGGATTTACCTCTGAATTAAGACCAAACATGGAAAATTTCAGCAAGTTTGAGGAACTGAGAGGGGATATTAATTAAATATTTGGACGTATCCATAACTATAATACGTACGATAGCAGTGCCTGCCAGCTATATCTTTTGAGCAACAATAAGTATTTGTGACATGAATTTAGGGGCTGTGGAAGACTTTCATTTAAGGTTGCTCTTTCATACATTCACAGGGAAACTATCCCAATTACAGCTTCGGTAAGATTATACTTAAGCAGATCTGGGCACCTGATTGGAATCTCTTCTTTGACATAAACATTCAGAACCTGCTGAAAGAAAGGAAATAGGCCAGCTGCTAGGAACACCTCGAAGGAAAAGCAGAAATTCTTTTCACAGCATGAAAGGAATGCAATGGCACAAAGAGAAACGATCACAGAAAACCCACAACAGAATCAGGTATTGAAAATAGCACCCAGAGAAGAAATTCATTCCAGGCCTTGCTCAGTAGAGCTCAAGAGACAACTCTGGGAGGTCTTTTCATAGTCAATAATTGCACAAGAGCCTCAGCATGCAGCAGGTCATTAGAATACAGAGGGAGAGGTATATCTGAATGCATGGTGTACTCCTGGGGGAATCCTGAGTCAAAAAATTAAAAATTCTGTGCACATTTTAAAATTCTGCATATTTTATTTGTCAAAATAACACAATATTATCACAGCATTTTCAATTATTTTTTGCTGACAAGTATTTTGAAATAAATTACCAAAATAATTGAAAATGGTGTGATTATATTGTTATTGTGTTACTTTGTTATTTTGACTAACAAAATGTGCAGAACTTCACAGAATTTTAAAATTTTGGTGCAGAATTCCCTCAAGAGTACAAGGGTTCTGTGTGGTGCAATAATGGGTGCAGGCAGCTCAGTGCAGGGGGAATCTGAATGCACAGGGGCTTGGTAGGGGGTTCTGAGTATAGGGGGAATGGGACTCCGCAGAGGAGTCCAGGTGAAGGTAGTTAGTGCTGGGGGGGGAGGGGGGAAGCTGGGGGCATGAGGCTTGGTGAGGTGGGGGGTTAAGGTGCAGCTGGATGGGGCTCAGTGGGGTGGGGGGGCTGCCGATGCAGGGGGTGAGGCTTGGCGGGGCAGTGGTTTGAGGGGCTCAGTGCGGAAGTTCTGGGTGTGGGGGGCTCCTGATGTAGGGGGGCTCGGGGAGGAGTTGCTGTAATGGGAGCTGCTCCCCCTGTCCACCCAACCCTGTGCATCTGGACGCTCCCCCACCTCCTCAGCCAGCCTCCCTGACTTGCACACACGTGCACGCACACGCACACACATGGTGCAGAACTTCCTGCAGCCAGGGGAAGTTTCTGGGTGTTGTTCTGACCCAGACCTGGCAGCATTGTGCAGGGAAGAAAAGGGGGAACGCTGCCTCCATCCTCCTCCCCCCGCACCCAAATGGGACTTATGTTCCTGGGCAGCTGGGGCATCGCAGCCCATCCTCCCCACAGTGATTTGCCTCTTCCCCAGCTGCCCGAACAGACGTGCCTGAGCTGCCGTGGAGGGGTGAGTGAGCACTGGTGAAGCTTCTTTTTGCTTCCCCACAGAAACCATTTTCTGCAGAAAGTAAAGATGGGATGGTGGCATTTTTCTGCTGCGCCGCAACGGCGTGAAATTCCCCCAGGAATAATGGTGGAAGGGTATCACACAGCACACATTAATTGTGCAATGACAGGTTTTAATATTTTACCTGCACATTCCAAAAGTTTACCCACACTTTAGTTCCCCCTCCCCACCGCCACATTTTCTTCTCTTATTCAGTTCCTTCCTCTGCTTAGTCCCTTTCCCTCAGGATACAATTAACAACAATTGCCCTATGTATACAGGAAAGAATTATTACCATTCTAACAGAATGGAAAGTCACAGATTTCCTTCAATTTGAAGATGAGTATATATTTGCCTCTATGTGCAATAAACTAAATTAACGCTCCTCAGAAACAAGTACCTATCATAGTTCAGGTCACCCATTGCAGATTTTGAATGCAATTTACACCTGAATTATTTTCCTATTCTTAACCCTTAGGAAAAGGATCACAGACAAACTGATGTTCTTGTTAAAATTTACTGAAAATGAGAATGGATTACTTCAAAAATATCTAGCTTCTGATCTGACTCGATGTCTCCTTGTATCATTCTTGGCTCCCTATTGCATAG